TTTGTATATTTATATATATATATCTGGGTTAGATATAGAAGTATGCAAAGTAAACAGGCCTGTAAGTCTGAAAATAGAGAGTTGCAGTCTAGCTACCTGAAAATAGAGAGTTGCAACCTAGCTGTAATCCTAACTGAGTCCTGGTGTTAAGGAGCTCTGGTAGAGTAGTGGTTATGAATCGGGCTACGAACCTCAAGGTCAGCAGTTCAAAACTACCAGCTGTTCCATGGGAGAAAGATGAGGCTTTCTGCTACTGTAAAGATTTCCGGCCTCGCAAACCCTGTACAGGGTCGCTATGAGTCAGAACCGACTCATACATGGTACATAACCACCATATCTGGGTTGGGAGTCCTGGTGTGGCGCTGTGGGTTAATGCACTGAAATGCAAAAGTCTGTGTGAACTGCAAGGTCAGTGGTTCAAGATCACCAGCAGCTCCTCAGAAACCCCATGCAGGGTCTCTATGGGTCGGAACTGACTCGATGGCACTTAACAACAACAACATATCTGAGTTGAGTCTAGGTGATATTGTCATGCATGTTAGTTCCCATTATCTTTTTTCCCCCCATTGTCTTTTAATTTGATATTTTCACAAACTTTTTAAATTCCCCTTGTAGACTAGAAGCTGCGCCCCAAAGAACCCCTTGTGCTTTGTCACTGTCACTGTGCACCCACCACACCCCCAAGAATAACCGCTGTCCTGATTGATAGCCACCTAGTTTCATTTTGGATGTCTGTTGTGGCACGTAGGATAAGCACAAAGTTGGCGGTTCAAAACTATCAACCATTCTTCAGAAACTCTATGCATGGTCTCTATGAGTTGAAATTGACTGGATGGCACTTAACAACAATCAGAAGTTTCATTTTGTCTGCTTTTTAACTTTGTACAAGTAGAATTCTACAGTGTGCATTCTTCTGTGTCTGGCATTTTTCTCTCAACTTCTGTTAGTTGGGTGTAGACATAGTTTCTTTATTCTGATTGTCATGTGGTATTCCATTCTATGACTACAGCAACCCCTATTTTTCCCTTCCACAATGGGCTATACTTCCACATTTTGTTGTTGTTGTTTCCACATTTATGTTAGCTAAGTTGGGTAAGCATGAGCATGCCCACAAAGAGTCAGGAGTGCCTAAATCAAGCATCACAATATGCTTGGCAGGTAGAAACATTGACTGGAAACTGCCAAAGTGAAATAGAGCAGGGTTCAACATAAAGTCATATCTTTCTGTTCCAAAACCGGTTGTTTCAGTATGTGGGTAAGAAGGAGTCAGGATTACCCTGGACTGAACTCCAGATCCTGCCCAGACAAAACATGCACTTCTTGGTGGCCAGTCCAGAGACTGTAAGGAGACATCTCAAAATCTTTTCTCTTCCTTCACACCCCCTTGGCCTTTGGGAAGTATCTGGCCCCTCTCTGTGACTCCTTAATGGAACATTCTCAAAAGCTGAGATTCTCCCTTTCCGCTTTGCTGGCAACAGTGATTCTATACCACAAGGATCTTTAGGATTAAGAGGTCTGGCGATCTTAACCACAATGGGCAACAATGGCCAACGTTTAGGGTGAAGAGTTTTGCAGGACAAAGCATGCTTATTCGTGCCCTAGCTCAAAAACTCCCCATTGTAGCACATCTGGACCACATTTGGAAATTTGTGTTTTCTGTTCCCCTGGGGAACTTTGGGACAACATACCTGAGGTCAGTACTGCCAAGGATTGTGATTGGGTCTGGAATTCTCCACATGACTAGAGAGGTCCCTTTATTGGTAGCAGGGACTGGGGGCTGCTTGCTCATGTACAACTGTTCTTTTCAATTGGGGCACTTAGAGTTCCAGATGAGTTCTCTTAAATTCGTTATTCAATAACTTGGCTTACTCATCGCCTCTGGCCAGTAAGGGCTAAGACTGCTCCAGTGTGTGGGGGTAGGGAGAGAGCAGGCACAGTGATGGCTGATGTTTATGGGCATTTTCAAGAGTCACAGAAGCATAGCCACTCTAAATGTTGTGCCTGAACTGGAAACTCTTGACCCTGCACCCCAAGGTCACAAAACCAGGTGCAGATATTTGACTCAGGAGCTGGTAAGCCTTGAGGGAGGTCAACCAGCCAGAAGAGGGTGATAGGAATAGATAGTGGCCAAATGAGGCAAATCAGGCCTGACAGGCCAAAGACTGATGACCTTGTTTACAAGCCTTTGCTTCCAGTGTGAAAATGGCTGGCCAAAACTTCCCAACAGCTCTCTCAGAAAGGCCTGCTCTTCTTGGCAAACGTTTTTAATCTCTACTTCCCTTCCCTGTGCCTTACTTCCTGTGGGGTCTGACTCTCTTGTCCATGTCTGTGAAATTAAGAATTCTAAAATTAAAATTCTGATAGAGGTTTGGGAATGTTCACATAGCATTAAGACCTTAACCAGAGCCAGCAAATCTATGAGTTCCTGTTTTCTTAGTTGAGGTTGCTAGGGTCACAGCTGGTGGACCCTTGCCTGAGAGATGTGGGGGAAGGAAGGTTTCTGTGGAGAGTAATTGATATTCACCTCGATGTTTTTATTTGAGGAGCTTTGTTGTTATTATGTGCCATAAAGTTGATTCCGACTTGTTGTTGTTATGTGCCATGGAATCGGTTCTGACTCATAGCAACCCTGCATAGGGTTTCGGAGACTATAAATCTTTACAGGAGCAGAAAGCCTCATCTTTCTCCCACAGAACAGCTGGTAGTTTCGAACTACTGATCATGAGATTAGCAGCCTGATTTGTAACCACTACACTACCAGAGCTCCTTTCCAACTCATTGTGACCCCTACATAAAACAGAATGAAACATGCCTGGTCCTGCACCCTCTTCACAATTTCTGATCTATCTCAGCCCATTGTTGTAGCTACTGTGTCAATCCATCTCACGGAAGGTCTTTTTCTTTGTCACTGACTCTTTACCTGACAACATGTCCAAAGTACATGAGATAAAGTCTCACCGCTCTCGTCTCTAAGGAACAGTCTGGCTGTACTTCTTCCAAGACAGACTTGTTTGTTCTTCCAGTCAGCTGGCTCCACATAATGTTCAATGATGACCAGTGGTGGACACTTACACCTTGCAGCCAAGTCCAATAGATGGTTAGGTTTACTGGAGACCTGGGGCCACATCTGGGCGCTGTAGGACAGGCTGCCTGCAGTGAGTGATGGGAAGTCATGGTGGTCTACATACTTTGGATTTGTCATCCTTGAGTATGTCATGAGCAGCCAGTGATGCTGAGTGGTCAGTGCAGTGTGGACAGCCCCGGGCATCCCCCTTCCATGGTGCATTCCCATTAATGGTCATTTATCTTGATTTCAGGTGTTTGCATACGTAGCCACTCTGCTGTATGTGACCCACGCAGTCTTTTCTTTAATCAGATGGAAGTCTTCGTAAAGCAACTGAAGAACTTCAGCTGAGAACCCAGACGGAGTTAACTGATGGGCCAGCCTTCCAGCATAACTTTTTAGAATGCAGGAATGCTCTCCATGGTTGAGGGAGAAAAAAGACAAAAACCAAACTCTGTTTCTTATGGTGTTGTGTTTACTTTCCCATATCCCTTCCTGTCGAGGGGGTTTGCTATGTTTAACCTCCTATTGGACTTCTTTCTAGAATCATTCTCTGTTTGTGGATGAGGGTGTAGGGATAGCAAATGGGGTCTGTGATCTGAGAGACCACAGAACAAAGGTCCCCTGGCCCCTGGTCCTGATCTTGAGACCATCTGTGACCACTGGCCACTGGCTTTTCTGGGCACTCCCTCTCGTAGTGTATTTGTAAGACTCCATGGATCTTCTGCATGTCACAGGGACTAAAAAAGTCACCCAATAAATAATTACAGAGTCTGTGGTGGAAGATAAGTCTTTGAAATAATTACTTTATAAAATGCCTTCATGTTCTCTACATTTGTGGGGTGTTTAGGGGATTGTGTTTTAATTCCCCAGTATCAGGAATACCACCATTTCAGCTTCCTTTTGAGGGACCCTTTCATTTACACTACTCTTAAGAGACATCATCAAACGATGGCTCAGATGACAGCCACATGTGCCTGCCCAACCAGTATGGGACTGGGTATAGATCCCTCTGCCTCAGCTTTCTGCTCTCTTCAACCACAGGGTGTCTAGTGTGCCTCCCCTCCCCACATCAATGTCAGCTGTGTGTCCCTGCCTCTAAAATGCTGGGGCAGCACAGTCACTAAAGGGCACAACACAGGGGCCCTCAGGGGACTGACGTTCAGCTGCCACCTGTACAAAACAGCAGCGCTTTGTTTGCCAAGTGCCAGCCTGGTGGCTCCTTCTCTTTTCCTACAAGACAGAGCAGTCTGTACTCAAACAGAACATCCTTTAAGCCAAAAGAAAACAAGATGAAGAAATTTCCTCTCACTCTTTGTAAAGCTGATGAGAAATGTGTGCTCTGTATGCTAAAGTCCAGGTGTCCAATAAGATGTGGATAATCAACTGTGCTTAGAATTTGCTTGGGCCACTTCACATCAGACACAAGGCACCAGGCTACAGGGAAGGGAAGTGAGGAAATGAAGGTTGTCCAGTGGTGAGTGCCATGTTTGGTTTGGGAGGCATCTGGGTTGATGATTAGGAAGGAGGCTACTGCCCAAGCCATTATGATCCATAGAGACACCATGTGTGAAGACAAGAACCGTGCTCCACAGGGTTTTCAATAACTGTGATGTTTTGGAAGCAAATCTCCAAATCTTTCTTCTCAGGCACTTCTAGGTGGGTTGAAACCACCCAAATACTTAACCTTTGCAACACTCAAGGGACTCCTCCTAACAGCCCACTTCCCCAAAATCCAGACCAATTGCCACCTAATAGATTTCAACTTATAGAGACCTTATCGGACAGGGTAAGGAGCTCTGGTAGCGTAGTCGTTATGAGTCGGGCTGCGAACCTCAAGGTCAGCTGTTTGAAACGACCAGCCATTCCGTGGGAGAAAGATGAGGCTTTCTGCTCCCGTAAAGATTTATAGCCTCAGAAACCCTATGCAGGGTCGTTATGAGTCAGAAACGACTCCCTGGCACACCACCACACTGCCATAGGACAGGATAGAACTGTCTCAGAGTTTCGAAGGCTGTATTTTTTACAGAACCAGACTGCTGTATCTTTTTCCCACAGAGTGGCTGGTAAGTTTAAATCACTGAGCTTTTGGTTAGCAGCTGAGCGCCTAAGCACTGCGCCACCAGGGCTCCTCCTGACAGCCTGGTGCCCCATTACTAAGTGTTCCTTTATCTGGTGGTTCATAGAAGCTAATGACACCCCAGAGATGAAACACCAGACCAGATGCCTCAAAAAGTGGTCAGCCCCCACCATGGAGACATGTATAGGGACTTCTATGATAATGGGAACTCATCGTCCAAAGATAATTGGTACCAGAAGAGGGCCAATTTTAGTGAATCCTCTTAAGACAACTAAAATGTCATATAAATATGAACAGATAATTTGATTGGAAATTTTTTTATTTTTGAAAAATTGAACTGTAGATTAAGAAATGAAAACATGTTCACCACATTTCTAACAAAATTTGCCATAAAATGTTTATCAAGGGAATCTCATTTTCTCAGCAAGTAAGCAACATGATAGATGCTGAAGACACTGTTCATCTTTGCCTCTTACCAAAATAATTCAATAAATTTCAGGCTTAGTTGAATTTCTAAGGGTTTCTCAACACCTTGAATTTTAATCATACTTTTGAAAGAAACATTCATGTGGTCTTTCTCTGTTTTCTCTTTTTCAGTGCAAATTGGTCTAACTCTAAAATCTGTATTAGTCAAAGATTTTCAGGATGGTTCTGTGATCTGGCTTTCTCTTTCCTCTTACCCCGAGTCATTTGTAAGATGTACACTTTGATTTTGCATTTGACTTACATTCTGTCTGCATTGGATAGGCATCATTTCATTCCTAACCTCAAAAAATACCCTCTCCTGGACGTTTTCTTTTCTACTTGATCTCCGGCTCCTTTGCTCTCATGCCCTTGTCCTTGCTCAGGCCTTTTTGCTTCCCCAGGTGCTCCTTCTTGCTTGGCTCTTGTCTGCATCCAGCTGTCTAGAGTGTGTTTGCAGGTACATGTGATTGTGACCTGCTGCCCTTCCTGCTAAGGGTGTTGTCTCTCTGGGCACTGCTCCTTCGGAAACCCATGACTCCGGGGAGCAGGGGCAATAGTCAAAAAGTCTCAGACCTTAGAGAACACAGCATGGACATTTACCAAGCACTTACTGTGTGATGGCACCATTGACCCCTCAAGGCTGTGGAAGGTTATGTGTCTCCAAACTTCTCATTGCTTGACATGTCTCACCTCTCTGCATCTGAATCTTGGTCAGGAGAAGACCTCCTCCAGGGCATGCCCAGGTACCACTCATGGGCAGGTCCATGAGGCTGACTGTCTATTTGTTGACTGTGACCCTGGATCAAAGGTCAGCACTCAAATATAACTGCCTCAAAGACCTCAAATTCACACCTATGCAATCATCATACCTGCCATATGTTGAGCCCTTGCCCTGCATCAGACCTTGTCAGCACCTGACATAGAAAGACTGCTATCTTTCTCCCAGGGTCCTGGTGTGGTAGTTGAGTGCTGCGGGATAAGCATGGGACTGCAAGCTACAAGGTCTTTGGTTCAAACCCACCAGACACTCTTTGGAAACCCTACACAAGGTTGCTATGATTTGTAATCGACCGAATGGCACTCAACAACAACAACATCTTCTGCCCAGAGACGACAAGAGATGGCACCACTGTCATATGAAAAAAGAAAAGAAATTGTTAAGCAGACTCCAACTCAGGGTCACCCCATGTGTGCCAGAGTAGAACTGTGCTTCAGAGGTTTTTCAGTGGTCAGTTTTTTGGAAGTAGATTGATGACAGGCCTTTCTATTGCACCTCCTTTGTAGAACTGAAGCTTAAACCTTGCAGTTAACAGCTCAGTGTGTTGACTCCTTGCACCAACCATAGGTGCCACTGTGGTTTTACAGGAAAGGAAACAGAGACTCTCAGTCAACAGGTGAGAAATGCAGCTGGATTGATGGAGGCTGTTCTCATGACTTTGAAAGGAATCACATTCGAAGGTCCTGGATAGAGGAGGAGAAAAATGTGGAACAAAACACAAAATCATAAAAAAGGACCTGAACTTATTCTGGTGGCTTAATTTCCAGCCAAGCAATAGATAGGTATATAGAGGGGACAACGACACTGATGAGGTACGCACACCTTAGAACAATCAACCATTTGAGATCAAAAGGGCAGCGTTCAGAAGAGTTAGGAAAAAAGGAGGAATGGAAACAGGAAACACGGGGAGGAATTGGGAGAAGTGATGTTACATTGAAGGGTTGCGATTAATGAGATGAAACAAAATGTAAATAAATTGCTGAAAGTAAAACTGATGATCTGCTCTATAAAACAAACCTTCACCCAATTCCCAGCAAAAGTTATCTTTAAAAAAAACAAAAGAAGAGGAAGAGCTGGATTTAACACCAGCTCCTTGCAGCCCTCCCTGGAGCCCTGTGCTTGGCTGCTGCCCTGGGGCACCCAGGCCTGTGCGTTATGGGGAGGGGCCTGGGAAGTGGGAGTGAAATGAGATCATGTGGATGTGATTCCAGTAGGCAGAGCTCCAGAGGAAGATGGAGTTGGACATTTGGAACTGCCTCCAGATCACCAGCAATGTGGGCAGTTGACTGTGTTCTCTGTGAGGGGCTGGCTTCTCTGAGCTGCAAAATCAAGACAAAGCTAGTTCAGCTAGGCTACTGGGTGCCACTTGGCAGTCCCTGCAGAGCCAAGACCGACCCAGTTCAGACAGTGCTTCATAAAGAAGGTGAATTACTGGGTGTTTTTCAGGTCCATGAAACAAAGAGCTGAATCCTTTCATGGCCTTAGAATGGATTAAGAAGTCGATGTCAATGATGCAACCAAGAGCCAAAGCCCTGTCATCCACTCTGAGATATGAGCCCGGCCAGGGTCAGGGTTCTCCTCCCTCCTTCATAAAATGGCTCACTGGAGTGACCTGGGGTCACTGCCAATGGCCTCACCATACCCCTGATTAACCCTGCAGCCCATGAGCTGGTCATGGTGTTGGGTCCATGTTCAGTCAAATGAACACCCTGCACCAGGCAAGGTCTGTGCTCAGTAAACATAGCAGAGCTCAGTGCTGGATGCTCTAACTGGCCTGTCCTCCTGAAGGTCTGTCCTCCAGCCCCTCAGGCAATTGGAGTGAGCGAGAACTTGTGGTGCACACTATGCCAATGAGGAGGGGGATCAGGGAGAGACAAAGCAAGGTACGTGGGACAACAGTTGGAGGTGCTCTGGGAAAGGACTTTGAGCTTTCCCTCGGGGGCTCAGCTGCACAAAGCACACAGTTATTTATGGGCATATGTGTATAGGGTTTCCTAGAACTGAA